AAAATGGCTCTAAATTTTTTCTTTAAATTTCTTTTAAGAATGGAGTAAAATGCTCTAATAAATGTGGCATAGGTCCGATTTTCACGGTAAAACTAAATTTTCAAAGGTTTGAAAAGTTTTAATGTTTTGCGGAGGCTTTCTACAACAACAAAATTAAAGATAAAGATTTTTTCTTCAAATAAAATTAGTTGTTCATAATTTGTTATTTCATTAAGGTCGTCTACATTTTTTGAAAATTACAGTAGTTTTAGCGCAATATTGAGTGCAATTTGTGCAATTTTAAAAAAAAAAATTATAAAACACGATTTTCTCAAGAACTGCTCTAAATATTTTCTTTAAACTTTCATTAGTGCTAAATTTACTCTATTATATAACTTTAAAGCATATTTCTCTATTCTTTTGTTTTTAAAAAATTACAAAAATTTTTTTCTTGTCTCTCATGTCGTTAATATTTTTATATTGGCGGCAATTCGTTCATATTATTGTATTTATGAGTACATATTCTTTAAATAATGTGACACAAAGTTTCTCGAAAACTCAACCGTTTTCTGTGAAAACTAGCTCAAAATTCCACATTTTCGGAAATGCTCAAACGCCATGTTCGCATAAACGGGTCTGAATTTTTTCTTCAAACATTTCTAAAGAATAATATTAACTGCGCTCTTTAATATGGCATACAAAAGTAAGTAAATTACGAGGTATTTTTAGCGTTTTCAAAAATTACAATAAAAATGTAATTTTTTTAAAAGAACTGTCACGCCGTCGATATGCACATTAACAGTAATTTGTAAACACTAAGTACTTTTGAGTTAAAGTACTTAAAATTACATTTAATGAAGTTTTTCGAAAACTCAAACAAAATCGCTTTTAAGCGCCTTTTTCTTCAAAACAGCTCAAAACGTTTCAAAGAAAATTGCCATTTAGGACAAGGTTTTACTGTTCTTTCATAATCTTAAAATAGTATTTCTGCTCTACAATTCGGAAACCGAAACATTAAGAAAATGTCAAAAAAATGTACTTCGTGCGGCGATAGATGGCAGCTAGCAAGAGTTTGTGACCAGTTCGACTAGATAGGCGAGACCTAAGAAAGCTAATACGGGAAAGTCTGTTTTGTAGCACCACTAGTTCTTTAATTTATTTCATTTGATGAGTTATGCTAATTTCTCATATTTTAAAATTACACATTACGAAATTTGCCATTTACTCTATTAGTTCATTATCGTATGTTTTATATCTCATGATTTACATCAGAAAAATAATGATCATGACGAAGCAAGGGAAAGCTGCTCTTGCCTTACATAATAATGATGGCCAAGACAGTGCCTTTAATTCTTTTATTTGGAATGCCGCCAACGACAAATAACCAATAAACCAATATCGCCAATTTTCACCCAGGAAATGAGACTCTTCGGTTGATTCAAGTGTTTTGCTCTTTACTCCTCATTCTACCTCTACCGTAAGTATCGATAATCCCCTCGCTATTGAGAGCATTAGAGGCCCTCGCTTCGAACAGACTTCGCGCTGAGAATACTGCGAATGTGTTTCTTTAGAAAGAGAGGGATCTCTTTCCAATATAGGTGAAGAATAAAGTGCCATTTGCATAGCAATTGCAGCTGCTACTTCGTACCGCACCAATCGCGAAAGCTTGAAATTAACACAAATATCGTTTTCTGATTAACCAGAAAACTAAAAGAAGAAAATATTGTATTTACATTGCAAAGGAACAACTAGTGAAAATCAAAATCTAAACACTTCAGATAACACTTCAGATTAACACTTGTGTTACGAACAGTATTAATTCTTCTTTTAATATAAAGTATATACAGCAAGACTATTACATTTATTGATATTAACCATGTCTCATGTAACATTGAAAGTTTGTCCTCCGTTAAGTAATCTTCTCAACAAGTTACTAAATTAGTTCGCTAAGATATTCGGATATCTTCTATCATTTCACCATAGTGACGATGGTGGACAAAGTTTGATCTTTCGAAACATTTGCCTCAATTTGGTAGATGAAGCATGTGTAAGAAATAAGGCTGTAAGTATGATGCTAATGATAGTAACAACTGCCTTAGAAGTTTCCCTGTACTTCCGTCACTTACATCAACATCTACTATTAATAAGATCTATTATTGCTAATATTGAGAAAATTTGGGAAATTGTTTGTTCCAAGTCAGAAAAACAACTAAGCGAGAATCTTTAATAAAGATTTTTTGTTAGAATCCCTTTATTTGCAAACATTTAATTCACACCAAGGAAATTCTGTAATATTTTGTTCATTTCATATACTCTATAAAAAACTTTAATTCTCCGAATTAACAATTTGTTCATCGTGACATATACTTTTGTCATAAACAGAATATTACTGATACATGAATATTGATTTTCAAGAAACAATACGGAGCAACGTTTGTGCTCGATTTACTCGTTTAAGAAACGTAATTTCATGCTTTGACGATACCACTCGTTTGACCTTGGATGAAACATCGACGAGTCAAATTTACATTCTCTCATTTTTGAGACAGCTAAGTACACGAGCGAGATCAAATATACGTTCGGGAAGTTTGACATTACACAAACTAGAACATTTAACAACAGTTTTCCGGGTCCTATATTGTATGTCACTTTCAGGGTTGAAATTTCAGACTAGAAACGTGTTGGGATCAAACCAGTCGCCTTTAAAAACTAACGTAGGGGAAGTATAGTTAACTAGCACAAACTGGTCACAGTGTCACAAAATGCTTGAACAGTACAGCAATTACTTAGGTGTTGGGATAACATAAATTCAGATTTTTTGAAGTGAGTGTCTGTTCGAGTCTTACTGAGACCTTACCGAGACGTTACCGAGACGTTTTACAGTCACGTAAATTATTCACAATAATCTCAACCCACTGCAACCATTAAAGCTCCTCTACTGTGCCTCCTAACACCTAAGAAATTTTGCTTAAACATCATTTAAGCACCTCACCTACCACTTCTGTGTTTCTATGCGGCATGAATATTGTATTTTAGATTCTTTAAATGTATAATACCTTTGTCAGCATTAAATAATAAATTTTTGGGAAAAGATTATACTTCAAATAAAAATTAGGAAAAATATAATTGGGTTAATGTGCAATAATTAAATATGGATTTATAAAAATACTATTGTACATGATAATTAGAGGTAGGATCTACTTTGTATCTCTCTTCTTAGCAGATACATTAGCACACCTTATTTCCCACTCTGCCTGGAGCAGTCACCCAAACAACGTTTAACTTTCCCAGAGACCTAGCACACCCTCCGAAAAAGGATATTGCCATGTTTCGCAGTGAAAAAACCACGAACGTTTCATCCAGCTGAAGAGCGCCAAAACGACAGTACACGTTGTGGCCTTCTCTTAGCAGCATGCTTTTTTCTAGAAGTATCCATCTACTCTTGAGAACGTCCCTGAATGATCTTTATTATTTTATCTTTTTTCAGTTTAAGCCCGTCAATATACGGCAGCATACGACGAGGCTTCACGAAACAATACGAATGAAGAAAATGGGCAAACATTCAGCCCCAGATGGGATTCGAACCCTTTGAATTCAGAGACTCCGACAAGGTGTAAACTGCCCTCTTCACGCCTGCAGAATAATATTCCTTTCCATCGCTGTCCACCGTAGCAGCTCAAAACTTCCTTACTGTTTTGTATTCTAATACTTCCTTTTGCAATGAGTTAACAGGAAACTGCAATATTCATCTGGTGTCTCTCATGCCAGAATTTCGAACGCATAGGAAAATATTTTATGTGATGGAGTGCAATAGTACGTCAGGGTCATGCTATCTGCAAAACGTCCATATCTAACCTCGTTTCCACAAGCTCTAAATGCTAGAAAGTGTTTGATAAAAAATGTAGTTCTAGAAAGTACAAGAACATCGTTGACAATTCGTGAAATTAATAACCTTATCAAGCTGCAACACGTGCACTCACAGTCGTTATCTAAGAAGACAGAAAATTCCGTTGCGTCATGACTTCAACTGCAAGTTTGACCTTTCTCCGAATAGTACTGTACATTTTGCCATTATTTTGATAAGTTTAATTCAATTTTATGACAATCTGAATCCAATATTTTGTAATGCTGCTGATGAGGAATGAAACTAATGAGGAAATAGGGAAGCAACGTTTACCCGACAAATGGTTGAAACAAAAGCCATACTCATCGTGTTCGTATTTGACACTGTTCTTAACCCAATTGTATTACCAATTGACCAAATCTATACGTTTCATTAAAATATGTTTACTTAAGATTACAATATAGTCCTACAACATAGAAATGGGATTTCAAACGACAGTTAGGGAGACGCGATAGAAGAGCATGGTGAAGAAAAAGGCACGACGTTTTCTTTCACATTTGAAACAGAACCTTCCTCAACAACATTTCGACAACGACTCTTTTCCTCACAGAATTCTGATAATATCGTAGTATGAAGAAGAGAAATTACAACTGACAGCGTGCGCTTCCAACAGAGTGCCATTTCGCAGAATGGCAAGGTTCAATCCTGCAAGTAACGCTTTAGAAAACACGACAAAAGAATTGTGTAAAAAACACTTTGAGAACGCATATATCTTCCTTTAGAGTTTAGAAACGTCAACAGTGTCGTAGTTCTCCGTATGAAATAAGAATTTTTTTTCTTCTGGAAGTCCCTTTTTCCATTAGTAACACGCTTTCTAAAAATATCTAAGGACGAGCATTGCCAGCTTCGCGCCTGCTTGGACTCAATACACGGTCGTTACGGACGACTGTCTGCAGCCAAATAGCTCCTAACACCACGTTGACAATGACCTTCCCGAAAACGAACGCTGCCCGGCGCGCTCCAACTTCTAGTACAAGGTCATTGCGCGATACAATTCCGGGCTTCCCTTCTGCAAGCAACCCGCGCCTAACGGCACTTTCTTTACTTCCAGAAACGAACCCGTTAGTTTCACCCACCCAACCCGCAGCCAGCCGGCACCAGCGGCGCCACCACTCACCGATCGCCACAGCCACCAGCACCAGCGCCCGGCACCAGCGTCTCACCACGGCCGTCGTCGTCATCTCCTCCCCGGCGCGCGGTTCATAGCTGCATCAGGCAGCCCCGGCGGGCCGCTGCGGGTCGCTCGCCCGCCATCCTCCTCCTCTTCTTCTCCCACCACCACCAACACCACCTGCTGGCCCGGTCGACGCTCACCGCGGCCAGTCGCCGCACTTCCGCGATCACCCGTCCGCCGGTCGGCCCGCACTGCCCGGAGCAGACGACGTCCGCCCGTCGAGGGGGAGGAAAGAGCAGCGTCGCGACGCCGAACCGCTCGCGCGACCGCCGCCCCGCGCACTGGCCACCCCGACGCCCGCGTCGCCGCCGCTGCCGCTGCCGCCGCTCGGCGACGCGAGCGCGCGTGTCGGCCGCCGCTGCAACCCGCCAGCGGAAGGTCGCGCACGCGCGAAGGGCCGGGCGGCGCGCGCCGGTGGAGACGAGGGCACAGGGCGAAGGCCGTGACCCCCAAAGCGGCCAAACTTATGTTTTTTTTTGTTCTATTGGATGGACAACTTTCCACTTATCAGCTGAACAATTTTTCGCAATACTTTGTTATATTGATTTAAAGCAATCAGAGAAATTCGTAAAGACTGGCATGCTTTAAGGATTTTAACAATGCACGGACTAATAGGAATAGCCGAAAAAATTCGTAATACGAGAAGTATTCTCGCTCAGCCGATGACACAAATAAATTTCAACCACACGTTTATTTGTGTCATCGTCAACCACACGTATGTTTGATATTGGCCCAATAATATTAATAATTTTTACAATAATCAACATAAGAGTTTTGACATTCTAAGGCTGATTATAGATTTACTGCATTTGAATTTGCCATGGAGAGGCCATATTTCCATAAACTGTTCTGCAATTACAGTTGATGGGGCACGCTACATCTCCGAAGTAGCCTTCTTAAATTATAGAAGGAACCAGTAGGTTTAATTATGAAAATAACAGCAAATATGAGGCTTTTTTACTTCATAATGTTGTTGTAAAGACTTATTATGCAATGTCTCCGCATCAACAGAGCGACGACACGCTTTTTTGTCCGCACATATTTCATTACCTATCATACCACAAAGGTTGGGATGCCGACAAACAAATTTATTCTGAAAATTGGCTAGCGTCGCCTGCTAATCATGAGATAATTGATTGTGAGCGTGGGTAGTCGGAAGAGAACAGGGACATAACTAGGTTAGTTGGCATCCGGGGCATGAACTCTAAAGGGGGTATAATGTGTCGTCGTGTAGTAGTACATAAATGTAGGTAAACCAAAAGAGTTTAAAGTAATAAAAGGGAAACTTGGGCAGAGTGAAGTTTCGAAGTTTCTTTAAAAATTCCAATTTCAAATTATTGAAATCACGTGTGAAAGAAAGAAGCACGAGAATGGGGTAGAAGAAGATTCGATCACTTAGACCACATATTATCAAACCAAATAAGCACAAGGAACCACCAACCGAAAACCTGTTCAGCCTTTGGTAGCGCAATGGATCTAAAGCGTCAAACGCCGAACATTTTCGAACAGCCGAACGTGACGAGAAACGCTATTTGAAACCGCAAACGGTGTCATTTCGTAAATTACACTGCTATACAAAACAAAAATCATGTGGAAATGTACCTCTCGCGTTCATATCTTTAACTGGTTCTTTATATAATGTGCATTTTTAGAGTTGTAGATAATTTCTTCTTTTAAATTTTTTTCTGTGCTTCTTTACAGGCAAAACATTTAAAAATTTATATCCTAGATATTTTAATTGTAAAGAAACAATCCATTCAATAACGTAACCATTCAGTCATGTAGAACTAACCTTCCAGCATTTTCAGTTTATTTTCCTACAAGACAGGCCGGCGATATTTTTACCCACCAGATTTGCCATTATTGTCAAAATACTACTATCAATGATTTTTTTTAATTCAAAATTTCCGTTTTTTGTGACATGGAAATCGAAAAGTACATAATTTTTGTGAAATCGAAAAGTACATAAAAACACCAAGCGACCTACCTTCCTGGTATTCGGAGAGTGTTCGTCCACAAACTTCACTTTCCGAAACCCTCTGCCGCACATGGCTCCAAATCCGTGGCGCAATGTCATTGTATTGTGTTCCCGACATCTAAAGCTATAAACGCAACCTGTCGCGCGACGGGAGGCCACCGCAATTCGTGATTGGCTACAGACGTTTCGTACGTGAACTCCCTTCCAACCACGAGAATGGTATTAACATATACATGAATGAGAAATCTTAGAAGGACTAATATTAATAAACATGTATTTGGATCTGTTCTCATTTACAATAATTTACTTTGTTGGGTTGGTTTCAAATACGTATCCGGGGTAAAGAAAATTATTAAAAATTAGTATTTTCGATGGTATCAGATGATCTTTTTTTTTTTGTAAACGGCAATTAAAGAATTAATAAGATTATTACTTCAATGCAGTTTCTTTACGATAATGAATCGTAATTTGTTAATATAGGTACTGTAAATATTCAACTTTAACTCAAACATTCTCCAATCATTTTATCACAACCGAGTGCCAGCATTGCTTATTCATTAAAATAAAGTCTTTTAAAACATATATTGCTTAATTATCCGTCCATCCGCATCTTCTCCTTGTTAAATGGTATTGCCTCTGTTTAAATAAACGCCTTTCGCTTTAAATTCCTCTATCCAAATGAGTGCGAGATGTAGCGGACCTTCTTCCGCCAAGTGTGGTTCTTGTTCTCTCGAGAGAAAAGTAACAAAATTACAATTGCATGTAATGTAATTGTAAGAAATTGGGGAACATTAACCACATCGTCTTAAAATGTGTTGAGTACTATTCCATCAGGGCGACGCGGCGTCTCCCGGATAGCCGAGAATTTATGGATTCGAGTCGCGGAAGCTTACGTGTATATATATTATTTTACTTCTCATTTTACAATACGTCAATGTCATGCATTAGCTACACAGTTTTATTTCAATAGTTAATAATGGTGCAATTTCCCCAAAAATAGACATACAATTGTAGCTATATGGTATATTATTAGCCCTATGATTTATTAGTGGTAGCTGAAAATTGAAATAGGTTATTGCGATCGGGGTAGAGTTTTCTGTGGGTACCCATCTTACGTGCATCACGCTGTAGTATACAATGGAATAAGCACATTCACCCATTGTTTTTATTGAAACATAAATAGCGTGGTATCCAACATTAGGTATGCTTTTTTATTCATTTTTACATTTCAGAGCAATGTTCTGGAGAAGAATGTGTCTCAAAAAAGGAGAAAGGTAAGTGCGAAAATGATTTCCCTCAGGTGAAATTTTCTCATTTATGAAATTCATATTATATCACCTACAAATAAGAGGAAAAGTATTCTAGGGCAGGTCTATTACCTGTACTGTGTGTGTGGACATAAGACATATAGCATTGTGAAATATAAATACAATGATTGAAGAATGAAAAAAGACGATCTCGTTTTTATGCATAATTGAAGAAAATTACTCTAATACTGAATACATTTCCATGGCAATTTTACTTTCTATTCAGTTCATTTCTTGAAAGAAAATTATGGCATTCTTGAGTTACATCATATTGTAATAGCCTTAATCATATTTAGAGCAAAATTACCAACATTAAATCATAAAGCAAGAAAATATGAGTTTTAAATGGCCTCGCCATAGGCATCCACAAAGTCTGCTTTAAGCAGATATATTATCTAGTTTACGTGGTGTTTCTAATGACGCAATTACCGTAAGGTAAATCGTTATCATGTTTGTTGATTTTCAGGTAATGAACAGTCTACTTACTAATATTAAATATGACACCATGGCATTACTATTAACACTTCCATCATAGTTATTTGTTCGTGATGTAATCATCTTTCTCTACGAAGGATAAGGTCACTTTAATTCGTTCTCCAGCGCACGAAACAACTCATTTCCCAAACTTAGATATTTATTTACGATAGAAGAATCCGGTATAGAGATTCTTATCAACGTAAATGGGAGATTCTTACATTTCACTCGTAATAAACAATACTAAAAAGCAAAATTTAAAAATGTAAATGCGCCAACTTAATGTATAAATCTTACAGTGAGAAAAATTGTGAATTTTTAAGTTATATAATTCATTAATCCAAAACCGTACTGCATTTTAAAAAGCATAAATGCCGCATATATGCTTTTCCGGATTTCTATTTGTAATTTGTAAAGCCATTATACGTCCCGTAAAGGGCAATTGACATCGGTGCGTTAGATCCCGAAGTTCCTCGTCTGTCACTCAACCAGGAAACCGCGATGACTCAAATTAACCTTCGTGTCTTCACGTAGTTAACGAATTTGGCTAGCGAAGCCGGTTTCGCGTTCGTGGCTTATCAGTAGAATCATTCCAGCATTAGCATGTATGACTGAGGGAAACCACGAAACCTCGGTCAGAATCTTCGGCACGGGGATTGAACCCGAACCTCCCGAATGCGAAGTGAGCGCGCTACGTTGAGCCACTTTGATCGTTTTTTCGAATTACTGTTCTCTAAAACAGAAGAATTAATTGTTTTACAGCATTCGCAGCGACCGTTCATTCGGCTATAACTTGCTTATTATGAACTTTGTGTAATGGATTAAAGCATCGTTTTCCCGTAGGTAGCATATCTGATTTATAGTTCTAAGAATTTTACAGGGGAAGATGTATCAAAGAAGATACGCGACTGGAGGTGGGAAGAGGTTAAAGACCATGTCATCGCGAGTGGCAAAGCTATTTGGATCTCTGAGCGAGAGTGACGACGACAGAGACAACGACGCCAACGCTTACTTCAAGCTTGACGCAGAGAAAGGTGGGGACGAAATATATTTTGAGGTGGACAAAAGAAACGAGGGGGAGAGGGTGGACACAGAGATGGAATTATTGAACACGAAGGGAATGTTGAGGTGCGTCTGTGTACATGGTCTGTAAACGAGAACAGGTGGGACTGTGAAAAAAAAGAGGACTGAGAGATCTGTGAGTAGAGCATATGGGGAGCCAAGTGTATGCCATATCTGTATTTTCATGCCACATTCTTTTTAAATTTCGTGTTGGCTGGGCTCATGGATATTTTGCGTTAAACGTGGAGGCGATAAGCAATCGTAGACCTACGCTGTTAACTTGGAAATGTGCACGTGAAGCGAGTCCAATTGCTGAAGAAAACAGGTATTGTTAGGCGAACATAACATACCTACCTCAAAACGTACTAAAAGTATGTTTTGATTCACCATTATACATCGACT